GATATTGCAGAAGCAGCACAATGCTCTTGAGCATCTTTGCAGCACCTAAAATGTTATCCGCATCAGGAAATCGCGTTTACTTGTATTCCAAAGCGCAATTACAGGACTTGGCAAAGTGCCAAGAGAGCCGCACGCGACACGCGCGCACACGACGGATGTTAGCATGAACGGGAGTCTGCGCCGCAAAAAGGTATTGGAGCATGGAGGAATTAGCGTGTTTCACGGTCCTGTATCTCCATTCCTGCGCATGTTAGGACGGGGAAACCGCTACGCTTCGACAGCTGGGGGCTGATAGTCACGCACACCCAAACTATGTGTGATCCATGTGCCTTTAATTTCCTCTCTTCAAGGCTCAGGTGAGAAATCACCACTGAACTCTCGCAGCGGATAGTGTCCGAAGAACACTTGTAACCGCTGTGAGACACGCCTAATCTAAGGGCTTCTGATCGACTGGCTCACATGAGAAAATTCCATATCTTATACTGTTCCAAACGAAACAAAAATTCTGAACTGTATGCGAAGACATGGCGTCTTCCAAACATGGATTAAGCAATGCTCACCATCTCGCGCTTTTCCACATTAACTTCCTAGACACCTCGACACCTCTGCACTTCTTTTGCTCATTCACTTTCAGCTTCCCTTTATACTGCCTTTTTGCCTTCCCTTGAGAAGCCACTACGAACTAGAAACTCTCGTTCTTTCGTCCTGTTCAATTTTGAAGTCCCTCAAACGGATACCGGACATTTTACTAATACATACCTTACGCTCGAATATTCCAGTCTTGTCGGCGCTGGTGCTGACGCATTTTGTTTGCCTTTCCCGAGGACAGACACAATGAATCACACCATCGATTATCGAGAAAAAACCAATTTTAACTTGCAAGCGCATTCTTGCAAAGTGCAGTCTTGTAACAGGGCACGTCCGTAGGAGAAAAATGAATAGAAAAAAAATGAAAAAGCAAAATATGACCCCCATCCCGCTGCCCGGAATTCACCCGTCTGGTATGAGCTCACGACCTTCCCATTCCGTATCCTGCCTACCATCCTCCTGAACTTTCGCAACTTCATACCACGTTTCCGTTCTTTTTTTCAATTCCGCCCTTTTCTAGGAAATAGTCGAGACAATCGCAAATTTTCACTTCAGGGCGAGCGACGACGGGCGTGGCATTTCTTCCATTTTCACTTGCCCTTTAGGATTTCATGTCAATTGCGGCATCTAGAGAGTCATAGCCGTTTTTGGTTACACACTGTATACAGTCACAGTCCACGACCAAAAAATATCGTCATTTAGGCGTGACGTCGCACGCGACGCCCATCAATGAATGTCGAATTACGATTGTCTTATCACATACCCCTCCCCTTTTCCCAGCGGATGGGGTGGGGGTCATAACATAGGAAAAACCAAGAAAAGCCAACAACTCAAAACTACATTCTTTTGAAAGCAAACACGATTTCCTCCGATCGAATGAGACCTTTTCCCCCACCTTTCTAAGGATCACCAACATAGGAGTCCCGCAACACCGAATACAATGGTAAGAAGCAGTGATTAAGTGGGCCAACAGCCATCCCAAACCACTTTCAACCCAGCAGTGCAAACCCAGCAGTTGCAAACCCCCTCAAAATAGTCGATTTTTGAATTGTACAAAACGTGTACCAAACTTTCTAAGAAGCTCTGCAATAGTGGTGGAACCGTTGGTTCACAACTCTAACCTTTTGGTAAGAAGTGACCATGCAATCGACTCAGCAATTGTAAACAGTACCCAGACGCATGGCGCATTACCGAAAAAACTCAGTGACCTCGAGCGCTTTGCTTTTTGCTCTCCATAACACCATGATGCATGAAGTTACTCCAAGCATCTCAAGCCAAAATTATTCATGGCCAATAAACCAGGAATAATGAACACAAAATACACTAGAATATGTTATTTTTTTATATCAAGTTAAACGCACATGCATTGTAGGAAAGCAGATATTTCTGCATGGGACCCAAAAGCATATTCACAGAATATTTTCTAAATGAAACCAAATTTCTATCAAGAAGCATAATACTATATCGCTGATGTTGCTTTGCCAATGCGCATGATATGACCACATAACAATTTCATTCAAAAGAATAAAACATTGTGCAATAGTTAATAGGTTAGCTCTATCCGCGACAAGTGGGTGGGCAAAGCGAAAGGGGCGGAGCGCCACCACCACCACGCTCCTCTTATTGGTGACCTTTCTTCGCAATTGTATTGGAAGAGATGGCGCATCAATGAGAAAAGTAGAAATGGTTAGCTGTCCCCGCCCACCCGCAAATCGCGGAAAGTTTATTCGAGTGTCCTAACATCACAGTATCTAGAAATTATAACACAAACAGATAATGACAGCTGTGTGAAAGGTATGAGCAAGAATGTGATGATGATAAGTTCTCTAAAGATTAAGTGAAACACCCACAATAATGAAAAAAATGAAGAAACAAAGTGAACTGAACGATAATCGATTGGAAAGAAAAAGATATCTGAATAGTCTAAAACACCCATATGTTCAACATATACAACTCTACTATGCTATACATGCCCCTATAGAGGCGATTATTGTTGAATATTCGGTCGAGTATTATGGAGTGACCGTAGATGTCTTTTTGAGTCGATAATGCTTTCACGAATTTGCTCTTCGCTTTGCACCAGCTGAATCATCGTATCCTTGTAATAATGCCATTGTCGGCTTTCTTCTTCTTCGAAAAAACGCGACTGTAAATATCACGGGATAAGAGGAGTGGGAACGGAAAAAAAAGAAATACATATCTTTCGAGTAAGGAATATTTACTCATTTATTAATTTGAAAACTTTAGAGGGTGCGCCGAAACTCGTCGGAAATCGGAAAACAAAAGCTAAGGTCGTTAAACCAAAACGGAAACAACTAATAAAAGTATCAGTAAAGTTAGACAGGGCCATGTTCTGGGCGGGGACTTGGCGAGGACTTGTCTGGTCGTTGGAGGTAAAGGGGGGCTGGCGGGAGGGGTTGACGGCTTTGGCGTTTTTAATATTGTGTCATGAAACCAACCCGAGGAACGGCGATGCTATGAACTTCGGGGGTTGTCAATTTCGCGTTGGCGTTGAGTAGCCTGCAATTTTTAGGGTGATCGTCCCCAGAAGGTGGGTGAGCTGCTTCGCGCTTCCATCCAGTTTTCCACAAATGGTAAGTGGCTTGTCTTGCTCTTGGTGCGGACTTACTTCAAAAAAGAAAGAGAGCAACAAAAGTGGACGGGATGTGCACGAAGTGGGCGGGGCATGCTCCTTGACTGCCCCTCTTAGATAACATATAAGAAGAAAATATCCTCCTTTCTTGAAAAGAAATGCCTCCCCACGGTAGCACCCCATGACCACAACACACTCAAAAAATTTTTCGATATGAAGCTAGGATGGGGTCAAGGTAACATACCCCCGGAAATAATCTATCTCAAAGGACTTCGGAGGCAATTTTTTAGCTAGTTCCCCGTCCCAAGCGTAGACAGTTATAATAGTAACAAAGCATAGAACGAACCATAGCACATTCAAGATCCCTTTCTCGTCGAGCATACGTCAATCGAAGGAAATTCACGTCAGCTAGCCGCCTTCGTAGTCGATTTTCCTCCATCAGGACTTCATTCTGAAAATCGGTATTAGTTTGGAAATTCCGGACCGAACCTAAGGCGTAAACTCCACTCAAATGCTACTCAAGTGCACATTCCGCGATACTTGGATAGGCGGAGACTGGCATCATTGTGCCTTCCCTATCATTGCGCCTCTACTCCTTACCCAGTAAGGAAGCTGTCATTTGTTTCCGCCCAACCCATTATCACGGACTGAGTCTTGAGTTGAACTAATTTGTATGATAAAAGATGAAAATGAGCAAATCATCTACCTGGTCCCCTCCATTACGAATATGATCCATTATTTTAACCATCAAACACCGTAATTTCATCTCAAATCGTATCAACTCCTTGAAATGATCCAGATGTCGTCTGACCTGAACAAAAGTTTTAGGGGCGCTAACAACCTTGCAGGGGCATTCAAAGGGCTCCTTGTGCAAGACTGAAATGAGCGTGGAAAGGGATTTTGCTTAAGCTAAAAAAAGAGAAGCAGCTACAAGTAGGTGAACCAACTGCAAGCATATTAAGTGCATCCGAATGACTTTAAACTCAATTTTGCACGAGGAGTCCTTTTAATGGCCTTTAACGGGATCAAACAATAGAGAGCAAAAAGTCCCCCGACAAGAAAGCTTTCTTACCTTATTGGCAAGGCTGGGATCGTTCTTTTCGATGATACTCAATAAGAATTCTCCGTTCCGTTCATTCGCTTTCATATCATCACTGATCGCATGTCGATCATCTTCATAATCACAAAGGCGCCGATTCGCCGACCCAATCGACTAAAATGAAGAAATTCCGAGAATTTGAGCCGAACTATAACGGAGGAAAACTAGAAAACTTAAATCCTTTGGTTCTTGCCTGGTCCCAGATAAACAAAAAAAATGTCTAGAGAAAATTCCGAGTTGCATTGTGAAAGATATGTCCGCGTGTTTTATGTAAACGAAATATTTGATATTGTATACGACAACGTTATTTTTAGGATCCTCCCACATGTTCATGTGTGGTATTTCCATCAACTATGGGGCCCCGGGAGACGGACGAGACAGTAGTAGTTTCGTCGCGCGCGGCATGTCCTGCTGCCATGCGCGGCAGATTATTCATGTGCATCAGTGAAGCATTCATTCATTCGACCAGTGAAGCAGCAAAACTCAGACAATGCCAAAAGAAGACAAGACTCCAGGACGGGCGATTTTGAATTTTCTCATCCCTTTAACACTCATATTTAGAAGTACAGGGAGGATAACTCGTCTGCCAGGCGAGGTGTCCCTCACCACGCCCATGAGGGGCAGGAGACGATTGTTCTGGTAAATATCGCCGGATCCACCGACGCCTCGCAGACCCCAATTTCATTCATAATTATGTGAATTGCAGAAGTAATGGATTGCAACGAACAACCCTGCTTAAGTTTCACGTCACGTTAAGAACTCAAGTGACTCCACCCACATTAGTAGATGCCCTAGATAGATGCCTCATCTGTTGTCTTGCTCATTTGCATGCTCTCTCTCGCTGCTTTCTCTGCTCTCTCGCTTGGTATTCATTTCGATTCTTTATCTCTCGCTTGGCACAAGTACGGCCTTATTTGGAGCGTTTTCATGGTTTCTTCTCCTTTTCTCTCCACGGGCAAGTCAGCTAGCACATTCACTTCTGTATCTGACCCCGCTACCGACGAAGCTTTCGCTGGCTGCCTTTAACGAAATTATCCACCTGGTCAG